AAGATTTCTATAAGTCTATGGTTATATTTGCATTACGTAGCCTGGCTACTTGGATCACATTTGAGAATTTGAAAGAAAAGTAAGTGTGCATAAACTAACGTTTATATTGAAATTTAAAAATATCTTTTTTACGTAAAATATTAGTTGAAAGATTACGTATTAAGTATTTTTTAACCTAAACTATGCAACATTTTATATTAATTATTGACGTAAAAGAAATAACTTAACCTAACTTAACCTAGTATTAATAAATGACCTAGTGTTAATAAAAAAACGAACAAGATTGAAATAAATATAATTATATATAATAGCAGGTCAACATGCCACAAAGATGCATAATAGATAAGTGTGTAAATGTGCAAAAGAAAAATTGTGGAATTTCTTTCTTTAAGTAAGTATGTTGAAGTACGTACATGTGATGAATTATATTATAATCTTTTATATGAAATTGTGATATACATATAAATATAACATTTCGAAATGTTTTAGATTCCCATTGAATGATACAATTTTATTAAAAAAATGGACGACAGCTATACACAAAACACACTGTTCTATAACTGCATTTAACATACCTAATTTGTGAACGGCACTTCAAGAAAGAATTTCTTTCTGGACTAAAACGAAAAAGATTAAAAATAAATGCAGTACCAACGGAATTTTTACAAGTAGATCCATTGGAAGAACTAAATGCTCTAATAAATTTATGTAAGTTGTTTAAGATCGCGCTAAATACAAGCGCGAGCCCGCGGCCGCGCTCTCACAAGGAGAAACACATTCGTGAGCCGCGAATAACATTTTGTGTCATGAGTCCGGCTTCGCTTGTCTTCCCGATAGATACACCGGTAAGCCAAGCATTTCACCTTGGTCGCCGGCCGCTAAACTCATGGCACAAACATGTTATTAAATGACAACCGCGACAACGATCGTCGAAACCGATGCGTCGCGTAATCTCGCAACGAGCCTGCGCATCGCGTCGCTCCGATCAGCTGATCGCCAATCACGCGCCGCCGTTTCCCAGGCGCATGGCAAGTGCGAGCCCTCTCGCGAAGGGACCTCTCGGCTTCCAATAGCGTGGGACGCCCTGAGGTCACCTCTAAACTCAAAATTTTGCCACAAAGCTATTGGCGAACTATGCACAGGAAGGAGATTCTCCAACCTCTATAAAACGACGGGACTCGGCCATCGAGCAGAGTTCTCGCTTCTCAAGTTTAACTGAAAACCGCTAAATCAAAAACCGCTGACAAACCGCTTACAAAGACACCCGCTTTTCCCTCGACTTACTCTTACGGACTCAACCCTAGCATTCGCGACCGGAGTTAACAAACCTGGTGCGCCGTGTAGCTTTCTCTACATTGTAAATACCTGTAAATAGACACCTGTAAATATATTTGTTTGTTGTTCAGTTGATCTAAAACTTAATCAGACAGTCCATACCACTCAGCGCTCAGTATCCGATAAGATTCCCTACGCGCTCTCGACCGCTCCCTTACAAAGTAGTTATTATCCATGTAAATATTATTTTTTATTAATACAAATTCACACATATTCTCAAATTTACAATTTTGAAATAATATTACTAGACGGACAAGTCAAGACTGGTTGCAGAGATGGTATGTGTTTGGTGTACGCGTATGTTTACTACAAATATATTTTTTGTAATAAAAATGTTCATAAAGTACTTATTTTGACAGAAATAGCTGTAAGAGAAGACGCAAGTTCCAGCATTGCACCTGATATGCACATTGCGTCTAACCCTGCAGAAGGTATGTATCTAATGCACGTATTAAGTCGCTACGAATGTTATAATGAAAATGTTAACACTGTTCTGTCGTTCGAGATGAAAGTTTTACCCTTCACTTCGTGGTTTGGGGTTCGTTTATTTGGTTTGCACAATACATAAAATACAGTCACTTGTCCACCCCGCGAACGCGAATTTCACTCTTTCGTTTGGCGACACACCGTATCGGGACGATAACGCCTTGGGCTGACTTGCCTTGGGTCGTCCTAATCGTTTGGCGACACACCGTATCGGGACAACGCTTTGGGGCTGATTTGCCCTGGGTCGTCCTAATATACCACGACAACGCCTTGGGGCCGGACCCTGGGTCGTATTAGTAGGACACGACTGCGCCTTGGGGCCGTGACCCTGGTTCGTGGTGAAATGTCAAGGTCTAAGACCGAATATTTGCTCGCACTCAATTTCTCTCAGTGATCGAGCAGGAACTGTTTGTCCCCCGCGGTTGACGACAAATATATAGCTACCGGGCCCCTGAGTGGAACTGGCCATCCCCCACCAAAGGCCCGAGATCAAACGGGCCGGATCAAACGGGCCGCGACTTGAAAAGATTAGAAAAACTGCGGTCCGAAGACAAAGGAGCCGCGATAACGTCAAACTTGAAAACCGCCGACGCCGCGCCGAGGATCAATCAGCCGAGCCGCCCCGAACACTGTTCTCCCTCCTTCTGTTTGATTTCGAAGGGAAGAGAAAGAGACCTGTGCAAGCATGAATACATTGGGTTTGTAATATCTGTTTTCTGTCGTGCACGACTTTTCGTTGTGTTATGAGCTAGTTCTATACGTAACATACTCCCCCCGTTGAGAGGGAAGCGATCAACTATATTATAGCTTATATGTGTTATGATGCATCTGAGAATATGATGAAGGTTTATACCCTTTCACATCCTCTGATTTTGTATCGCCTTATAACTATTCGCTCGGAAGTGGACATAAACAATTTGTCGGTCGTTTTATCTCTCCGTTCGCAGTTCGGATGGTGGCCGCTCGTGTAATCCCATCTTTGCCTGGATGTAATTTGGTAACTCGGCCCAATGCCCATTGAGCGCAGGGCAGGTGTTTTTCCTTAAGCAGAACCACTGTTCCGACATCGACTGTTGGACCATCTTTAATCCACTTGGTGCGTTTCTGGAGCTCGTTTAAGTATTCCAGATTCCAACGAGTCCAAAAATCCTGTCGCACCTTTGTGATGTGTTGCCAAGTGGACAATCGATTGGCTGGAACAGATAGCAAATTACCCTCTGGGAGGGTTGTTATGGGTTTGCCAATGAGATAGTGGGCCGGCGTCAGTACCAGCATGTCATTCGGATCTGACGAGAGAGAGGTGATTGGTCTCGAGGTTAGAATCCCTTCAATTTCAATCGCGAATGTATTTAATTCTTCGAAGGTAAATAATGACTCACCTACGACACGTTTGACATGATGTTTAAACAGTTTCACTGTTGACTCCCATAATCCACCGAAGTGGGGAGCCATCGGAGGTATGAAATGCCAGACAATGCGCTGTTCATTTGAATATTTGTTTACGAGTTCTTTATGTTCGTTTGAGTTTAACAAGGCATATATTTCCTTTAACTGATTGTTCGCACCTACAAAATTAGTCCCGTTATCCGAGTATATGTGTTCTGGTCTGCCTCGTCTCGCGATGAATCGTCGCAACGATGCAAGGAAACCGTCGGAAGACAAATCGCTCACGACCTCAAGGTGAACCGCCTTTATGGACATACATACAAACACACATATATAAACCTTAACTCGTGCGCGATTCCGAAATTTTTTCTCCTTGACGTAGAATGGACCACAAAAATCGATATTAACGATCGGTATTAGCGATCGGTATTAGCGAATGGTACTGCCTCGCACACTCGAGCAGGAGGCAGATTTCCCATTTTGGTGCCTCCTGTGAGGTTCGCGAACCTGGCACACGCAAGGAGATACAGCACACACTACATCCAGTCGAGGAAAGAGAGGACAGGCCAGTGATCTTCCACGCGCCGGCACAGGATCATATCAACGACAAGCTAAGGGCCAGTATTCATTCACGATCGAAACGATAGAGTAGGTTTGGTCTCAATTCGGGTTCAAATCGTATAACGATGGCCGATAGAGTTAAGTTGCTGGTACAAAAGCGAACGTCTCTAAAGTCGCAAATCACTAACCTAGCGAATCTAGTCGAAAAGGGCAAATTAGACCGGGCAACGTTAAAATTACGAATAGCACGTCTCACAGAATTGCATCGCGCGTTCGACGAATACAATGACGAGCTCGAGGTATTAGATGCAAACGAACAACACCGAAACGAATTCACGCAAATTCGGGATCGTTTTTACGCACTCGCGGGTAAGGTTGAAAATATACTCAACCCGGCGAGCGTATCGACGGCGAGCGTATCGAGCAATGGTTCTAGCGTGTCAAACGGCGAAAATCGTGCCGACGGAATCGAATTAGTGCCGAAACGACGTATTAAATTACCCGAAGCGCCGTTACCGACTTTCGAGGGTAAATTCGAAAATTGGCTGTCCTTTAAAAACGTGTTCCATGATATGATCGGGTCGCGGTCGGATTTATCCGACATTGACAAATTACAGTACTTAAAATCGGCGTTGACCGGGGAAGCCGCGAATAAAATTAAGATTTTCACAATCGACGGAACAACCTACTCGAAAGCGTGGGAATTACTGGAACGCGCATATGAAGTAAAACGAGTTCTAATTTCTCGACATCTCTCGTCGATCATTAACCTGCCGACGTTAGAAAAAGAGACCACAAACGGCTTGTCGAAACTCGCCGACGATGCTCAACAGCATCTTGCTTCCTTAAGCGTACTGGGGGTCTCAGTTGGACATGAAATGATTGTCCATATTTTGGAAAGTAAATTGCCAAGGACCACGTTAGAAAAATGGGAAGCGAGTCTCGAAACAGATGAATTCCTGAAGGTCGATCAACTCTATGAGTTTCTGTATAAAACCGCGGTGTGCGTATCAAAGCGAGAACGATCGAGATCTTTCGAGACGGAAAGGTCTAAGAACGATACCCCAGCTAAAAAGAAACTAAGGTCTTCAAACCAGGCGTTCGTTTTGAACACATCGCGAAACTGCGTTGCATGCATGGTCAAACGACATCCGCTATTCATATGCGACAAATTCAAGCATCTGCCGGTCCCTAAACGCATTGAATTAGTAAGATCAGCGAAGGTTTGCTACAACTGTTTGCGTTCTCATAGAGACAGGCCTTGTAAATTCTCGAGCTGCTCGATATGCCAAAAACGTCACAATACG